TTCCGCATTGTGGATAAAGTTACTTTATTGCCCTCAAATATTTGTTATATGATCAAAATAGATTGAAAATTCCAAAATCTAAGGGAGCAATTTTCACTAATTATTAAAGCTCATGAGGCTATCGGTTAAAATTAAAATTTAAAGAGAAAATTAACAACTCCTTATAAATTCGAAAAATAAAAAAAAAATCAACAAATACGGTAAATACCTCTTGAAAAAAAAGCAGACAAATTGGAAAAACCCAATAAAACCAAATCTTACGTCGGATGAGGTGGCCACCACGTCATTTTCATGAAATTAGTTTAATGGGCTAAAAGAATCGAATGCGAGTTCCTAAGTGGTGGGGTGGAAATGTATGGTTGGGTTTTATATCACGTAATGTAAAACCTAACTTGTATAAATTCAAATTAAAATATACACACTAGTAAATTAGTAATTGACTTGAATATTGGTTACATTACATTAGATAAATCTTAGAGCATTAATTCTAAGGTGGAATGGTCGTGCACATGCCTTTTCTTTTACATTTATTATCATCTTATTGCGTGAACAGCGCGTTTTCATTTATAAAATATGATAAGTTTGGTCATTTATTTTTACAATTTAACTTCTCTCAATTCAAGGAACTAAAGATTGATTTTTTTCAAGTGTTAATAACAACTTCTTATATACGTCATATCCTACTAAATGTTTTTTAGTCTTAGAGGAAATGTGGGATGCTTTAGAGCCTGTTTAGCATTTTATTTGAATTTTACTTTTTGGACTCCAAAACAATTTTTTAGTTTTACATTTTGAATATTTGTTTGGTTGGACTTTTTTAAAAAAACTAAACACAAAACTAACTTAAAAATAGCCTACTTCTAACAAACACAAAAAGTGAGTTTTTTTTTTTTTTTAAACTCCAAATACTACTTTGTCTCTCCTTTCTTCTCACTACCGATCTTTTTTTGCTAACTCTCTATCTCAAGCATATCTTTCTCTCCTCTTTTTATCTGCTCTATCCTTTCTTTCTCTCTCCTCCCTTCAGAATATCCCTCTCCTCTTTCTCTCTCATCTCCCTCTTCTCCGATCCTCTTTTTGGATTTCTTTGTCTATCCAATTGAATTTAGTAATAATTTTCAAATTTACGGGGAGTTGGTGTAGGGTATTTTTTATTATTTTCTTTTTAACTATCAAAATTTAAATTTTGAATCTCATACCAAACAAGTTTTTTAATCTTAAAAAAAAATTAAAGAAGTTCTTAAGAAATATTTTGAAAATTCTAATTTTTTTTATTACAATACCAAACAAGCCCTAATATTCGAATTTGCATGCATGTCATAACAACCGCTGGTTTATACTCTGCTTAGCTTGTTTCTTTTTGTAATTTACCATTTTTATAAAATGGAAACAACGATTAAAAATCCTTTCTTGCAAGTAGATTTTGTTGCATTTGTAATCATGAAATTATATTCTTGATTGATAATGCTTCTCGTTCCATTTGATTAATCAAATATTTATTACCTTCAATCAGCCATTAATTTATACAAATTACTGGCTTCCCACTACACCAAAAGTCGTCTAATATGATGGGGAAAATGACAGTCTCCATTTTCTGAACTCACTCGTGGCTTTTAATTGCTTTCATCATCTTCCTAATCCATTGTTTAAACTTTAATTAATTTCTTAATCCATTGTTTAAACTTTAATTAATTACAATGTTCTACAACATTCTATTTGAAAAATAACACTTAGAAATTGGAAAGGCGTGACAAATGATTTCATCATCCTTTTTTGTTTTTTTTTTTTCCCCTCTTTAGATATTCCACCATTGTTAAATTTATTGTCTACCTAATCAAGCCACTCCCTTCACTTCTTTTTATTACCCTATTTAATTTCATTGTTATTTACTTTTGGCATAATTTGAATTTATATTGTAAAAAAGAATTAGGTTAAGGCATATAATAGTAATTAAAATAATTTAGTATCGAACTCGTAATCTACCGGATTCAAATTACAAGTGAAAAACAATATTATTATATCGTAGTACTAAGAGACGGCAGACTTGTTAATATATTAGATTTTGAACCATATCCAATTTGAATACGATGCAATTAATATGATATGGATCCCGACTTCCAATCCAATTATCCGAATAAAATCCGAATCCAATAATCCGATTATAAATAGATCAAAATTGATCCGATCCAATAATAATATGATCCGTTTATAAGTCTAGACGCCATCATAATATTTGAGATTACAATACAATATAAATAACATATATAGAGCTGTAGAATTAAACTTTAATTACTACTGGTTTTATCTTTGTTTAAATTGAAAGGATGAAAGCTCCTTCCCTCTTGTTGTAGTTTTCTTGTTTTCTTTTTCTATAAATAATTAATGAAAGGAACAAAGAAAAGAAGTAGCATCCCACACACTATATCAAAATATTTTGATATATGTAGCAATTTCCTGTATAATTAAGTGTTTAATAAATTAAAATAAAACAAAGGGGACATTCCATGTCAACCCATGTTAATCGAGCAAACAAGTACGACACATCATGTACTTGATTGTCCTCTCCATATGTAGGCTGTGTGACAAAAAAGAAAATAAAATCTGGGATTTCCTACTTGCTTCTGAGGAATCTGGCGTATGCCAGAGTTTTTTTTTGGGACTAATGGTGGCTTCGCCACTTCAATTCATCTTTTGAATTGAAAAGATTCACATAGGTATTTTAATATTTTTCTGATCAGTGATTTATTAACATTAAAAATCAAACTCAGAGCATAATGTGTAGAATACATACATGAAATTCGTTGTTGACTAATGTGTCATCTCATGATTGTTGCATGTGCTCAAGTTTGAAGTTCTTACTTTACCTACCACCAATTCCAATTTTGTCCTGCTGGTTTATATTATGGTCCGATCAAAGTTTGTTGAGGTTATAGGTGCATCATGAAGTATTACGAGTGAAAAGGTCACAAAATTACGTGATGTTATTAATTTAAAAATAATATTATGTATTGATGAACGTTAAAGTTAAAATGTCATACAAATAGAATATGATATTGATAAATATATCTAATATTCTTGGAAATTGTCAATGTCATACATCAATTATATGTTTTTTTTAAAAAGCATTTCAATTGCGTTTTTACTAAAAATTGTTTTCAAATATATTTTTCCTAAAAACGTTTACAGTTATTCTAAAAGCACTTTCAAACGAATCATAAATCAAAAATAAATTGAACCAAGGCAAAATCATTGGCCAAATAATCAAATTGGAGCTATTAGCCAGCACCAATTGGCACAACAATCCAAACATGGGAAAAGAGGTCGAGGAGAAAGGGATAATTTTCTCATATTTTTCTCTACTAAAATAACTTTTTTTTTTGTCTCCTATGGTAATTATTTATCATATTATTAACATATATATCACCAAGAACAAAGCAATTAAATATGTATGAAATTGTAGAATACTGAATTATTTTTAACTTCATTTTGTTTATTGGGAGTGTGCCCCCATATTGTTTTGTGATTAGATTCACATAAACCCTCTGTCAATCTGGAAATCCATCGATCTAATTCTTTAAAATATTCAAAATACCTAATAAACTATTTAAAACAAGCCAAAAGAAGAATCGAGATCTCTCCGGATCTCGAAGTTTACTAGCGCGCCAAAAGATCCGAACCGTTTAAGAAAGAGATTTGGACCCTTAATTTGTGAAGTGAAGCCCATAAAATAAACTAATGAAAGTCGTATAATTTAAAATGAATGGTCTAAATCTCTAGGTCCGTTGGCTGCAGACACAGAGATCCACAGAAGATTTCAATTTCCAAAAGAAAAACTTTATTTGAATGTGCATAGAATCTCCACCACCGGTATTTGAACGTTCGAGTAATTTAATGTTTTATAAAATGATGAATTATACAGCACCAATGGGGGACCAAAAACAGATCAATAGATAGAAAATTCATTTAATATGAAGCAAAGCATCTCTGTCTTCTTTTCTTGAGGAAGATAACATGGCGTAGGCGCAGGAGAACCTCAAGTTCTGGATCTTTATTTTCTCTTTTGGAATCTTTTATTTGCATAATTTCATCAATACAACATTGGCTTTACATATTTTTAGACATTGTTAAATGTGATGAAGCTTTATATGTATATACTATTTGAAAGACACTTTATGGTGCTCATTTCATAATTTTTTCAACGATCCAAACTGTTTGTGCTTTAATATATCATTCATAGATCATCCTTATAAAAAATTAGACAAAATCATTATGACATCCAATTGTAGCAAAGAAAATAGATGAATATGATTTTTCTAAGAAACAGTAATATGACTTTCATTTAATCCAACGGTCAAATAGTTTTGAATGTGGGTGATTCCTAGTAAAGATGATCTTTGACGGAAGGCCTAAGCGATAAACAGCTAAATCGTTGAAATACGATGTAGAATCATTGAAATACGATGTAGAGTAAGTCATGCAAAAGATCTCTCAGATAAACTTAATTGAGGAATCCTTCAACCAAGAGGACTATATGCATGCACACAGAGAAGTGCTCGAATGCAATCCAATTGGTGACTTAACCACTCCATATCATGATATTAACCACATTTTTAACTATGTCGTCACTGAAATCTGGTCCTAGCAAAACTTGCTCAAATCATAAAAGCGTTTAGTTTTCTAACCGTGACCTAAATAAATAATCAAACACAATATTATTGATAAATTGTGAATGTACACGCCCTTAATCAATAAATCAAGACTAAACAATATGATTTTGTAGTGCCAATAATAATACACCATAATGCTAAAGCATTGAAAATTCAAGTAATAGACTATAGGAGAAACTAAATAACGTGTAGAAGTGTTCTAATTACTTGTTTCAACTTGCGAACTCTATGAAAGCAACCAAAACTTTCGGGACTCGTTTGATAGGTCGGATGTGATTGAACATATTTTATAAACATTTTGTGTGTTGATACTTGTTTAAGTCAAAATAAAAATAATACACAAACAAGTGGCAAGACATTTAAAGTCAATAGAGAAATTTACATCGATAATTTAGCATTCACACCGTAATACTCATTACAAATTCCAGAACCCACTTCTCTGGTCCCTCTCAATTTTGCCCATTTCCATCAGTCATCATATATTGGATTCTCCTAATATTAATATCTGATTACATAAACAAAACCAAGTTGTTCTTTCCTCCGCCAATCATTTGAGACTATGATGCAATTCCAAACACCACCAACACCAAAGACTAGGCAACAAAACGAACTGACCAATCACCCCCTCTTACCTTACACTCAGAACGTCACTGTAACGGTGTTTATAACCAATAACATATTACCAAATGAGATAAGAGATAATTAAAATACATAATAGTAAGTTAAGGTTTTGAAATACCGAAGCAGTGACATTGTGGTTAAAGGTAAAATTTTCTATTGTCATCGTTGCCATTGGTTAGTTAATAGTATTGGTCGAGCATGTCGGCAGTGGCCATGATTGGTTGGTTAACATAAAGCATGTTCCAAGGGTTTATGAAGTTGTTGTGATCGGCAACCGGGGCGGTTTCAAAGTCTCCGCCGTAACCGCCGCCGGCGTCGATGTAACCGAGGATCTCGTTGAGTGACTCCAGTCTCTGGCTGAGCTCCGCCATCTGCGCTTTCAAGACCGAGTTTTCCGACTCGACATTCATGTAGTGCTGGGTGGTGATGTTTATGCTGGTCAGGATTTGGTTATTCTCCTTCCGCAGCTGGGCGACCTGCGCCGTCAGATCGTCCAGGTGCTGCTGCTTCCGCATCCGCGACCGCCGCGCCGATTCGCGGTTCGACTGCATCCGTTTTCTCTTTCTTTGATCCACCAGATGATGCAGATCCCCTTCGGAGCCAGAGTTCTGAAGCTGAGTGGAACCAGAGGAATTTCCGCTTGAAGAAGCCATAGAAACTTAGATTAAACCCTAAACACGAAGAACCAAATACTAATTATTCAGATAATTAAGCGCGATTATATATATAATATAGGTATTAGGCTGTGCGGGGAGCTGATTTATGAGAAAACGTAAAACCAGTAGAGGAAGACGACGGAGAAAGATTGGACGAGGTGGGTTCTGCGCCGGAGGGAGGAATCTACCATAAACCCGGAAAGGAGGATTTCACTGAGAACCGGCGACATGAATCTGAAACATTAAGATCCAGATTTTCAGCATTTAATTTTCCAGAGTTTTATTTTCTGAAACAGCGAAATAAATCTCAGCAGAAACACAAAATTAAATTCAGATTTCAACTTCAAAGACTAATTGGATCAGAAAATATATGGGTTTTGGGTACAGGATCCAAAGACCCAAGATTCAACAGCAAAAACCCAGAAATGAAAACCCAAAATTAAGTAAAAAAAAACACCCAGAAATTCTTGGAAGAAAACCCAACAGAGCCTCGGCCCACAAGAGAAAGAAAGAACTCAGGAGGAGAATTTAAGCTCTCAGAATGATCTGAAAACAAAAGAGGAGGAAGAGAAGAGAAGAGGAAGAGGTTTGTAAAGGAATTGAGGGGTCAATTTATAGAAGGAAAATGCAATAAAATATTCCAAAAGGAAAAGCAAAGAAATTGGAAAATTGATTAAAAAATTAAAAATGAAGAAAAATAGAAAAAAAAAGTTGGAAAAGTAAAGGGCTTTGGAATCTCCTCCCAACTCTTCTACAAATGGGTGCATTTTTATCTTTCCTATTTATTACTGTTAAATAAATTTAAACTTTAAAATATGTCTATTTATAACATATATCTTAAAATTTAAACGCATCTAACAATGATAAAAATGGCGATAAGTATTATCATCTAATAAGGATGGTGAGTAAAAATATTCTCTCTATAAATAGATAAATTATTCAATGCCTTGGAAACACGATTTATATAATAAATATAATAATACAATTAATTAAAATCGTAAAAGTAAAAAAATAAACTTTAACGAAAAACTCCTTATACTGTTCACTTTAATGAAAAATTACATTTTTATACTAAAAATTTAATTATAGTACTATTTATTTTACCCTTTATTTTGTCATTATTTTAAAACTAAAAATTTTTAAACTATTTCCATTAATTTTTTTAAAATAAAATTTCTCATAATTATGTTATTACACTTTATTCATGGACCGTGTCCCGGCAAACTGAATCTCCCTCCCGCAAATGGGGAAGGGTTTGTTGGGGGAGCTGGTAAGGCATGTGAAGCCTGTACGAAATTTACAGAACCGTCCAATTCCAGCTGGTGAGCAGTAACACTCATATTTTTTTTTTTCTATAAAAATTTAATGACCCATTTTATGTTTTTCATTTTTCTATTTTTTGGTTGAGAAAACTACCCGGTATGTGACAGTATATTTTACTGTATAAATGTCATAATCTTAACAATTAATTTTTTATCAGCATTTAATTACTTTAAAATTATTAATTTAGATATATTTTAACATTTTTTTGGTCAGAAGAGATATTTTAACATTTATTTTTGTTGAACAAATAATGGATAATTACTTAAAAAATCTTTTAATATGGAGATGTTTTAACATTTATTTGTGTTGAACAGGTAATGGATTATAATAACAATTAGTAACTTCATGATAAATCATCAATTTTATTGGATTCATTATCAGCTAAAAGATTTTCATTTTTGTCAAAGAATAAATATTAGATGAAAGAGTCGACAGAGTTTAAACCCGCGTCATGATGCATAAAAAAAACATTCTTCATCACCACTGTAATAGAAGATCATTTGCATTGACTAAAAGATTTTCGGATCAAATAAATTTATTGATAATTAAAAAAACGATGATTTTGTTTATTTAGTTTGTACATATTATATTTTTTTTACCTCTCTTTCACCGTCAGACTACCGGATTTAACCGTTTCGGTAGAAAGTGACAGGTTGTGCCCTTTTTATTGATAAAGAATGTAACAAGGGACACCTGACCGTAGCAGAAGGAATCTCAGGGACGGAGGTGGTATAAAAGTAGTAGGACAAGGACAATACCGTCTCTTAAAAATATTTTGCGTTGAAGAATTGTCAACCCGTCACCTTCGTTTCCAACCATATAAAAGCCCTACCAATTATGTTTTACCAAAAAAAAAAAAAAAGCCCTACAAATTATGTGTGTTTAAATTTACAAATTTAATCATTTTTGTGTAAATCTTATTAGGATTCTATGATATATTTTAGATAGTTTCTGTTTGTATGTTCATACCTAAAGGATACGAAATTTACTTTCTATAATACTATAAATAAAGCACAATGAGAAGAGAAATCATATCTCAGAATTCACCAAATTGTCTCTCCTCTTTCTTGCGATATTTCTCTGCATCTCTCTATAATTCTTTAGTTAAATAGACCTACAACATATATGATGATTTAAATAAATGGAATTAATGAAGCTTTATTTGAATGAAAATTAAAATTAAAAAAAAAAGGAAAAAGTAGGAAGCGACAGAAAGGGTGGAGGAGGAAAACTATGATTAGATGTGGGCGAGGGAAGACAAAAAACAGCAAAAAATTACTTTTATGATTTTTTTTCATGATATTTCTTTCAGTTTATGCATGGAATGGTAGAGTAATATTTTATTTGATTTTTGGTTGATAAAGAAGACTTTATTAATAAATAGTATAAGAAATAAGCACATTTAACAACATTTAAGTAATAATTCTATAATCAATAATTTTTAACATTTTGTCTAAACAGTTAGTTTCCTGTTTTACCGTACTTTTATTTGCACCAAGAGACTCTTGACATGTGTCTAAAGTTTTACTCGTTTTTATAATTAACCAATGATAGAAGGTTTCCTTGAGAAAAACACTTTGCCAACATTTTCCCCCTCTCTTTCTCTCTCTCTCTCTCTAAAATGTTCTTGGCGTTTCTGAAACTCCTTTTCTTTTTGCTGCTGATCATTTTTCTTTTCCTCATGAATGCTCTGGAGTTCACGAGAAAGAATTTCATAGCACGAGTGCGTTATTATTGAGTACTAATGATCGAATCAGTGAATAGTATTTCTCTTAATTTGTAAGTGAGATGTCTTAAATTCGATTCTTACAAAAGATGAATTTTGACCACATTATTGCTAGTTCATTATGAGGTTAAGCCTACCCCGTTCAACTTAGTAAAGATAATATTGATTGTTAAAAAAAAAAAAAAAAAAAAAAAAAAGGAAGTTTCGTCCAAGGCCGCCTCGGAGCTAAGTGGTTGATCACTGCCATGATTAATCTCTAGGCTATTAAAAAAAAAAAACAGAAAATGAGCCTAGACCTACCTAGATACCCATCTAGTCCGTCTAGACTCGCCTAGGAGCCCACCTAGACTGTTTAGGTCGCAATTCTTACATAAACAAAAAATAGATAATTACCTTCCATTTTGCATTTTATTTTTTCAATAAATTGTAAGAGACTTGTTGAATACTTGAATAAACATTAATTATAATTTATATATCATTCTATTTTGTAATTTATGTGTCCTAATACAATAATGTATTTTTTAAGTAATAGTAGAGATTTATTTATATGTATATCATAAATTTAATTAAAATTAAATAAGAAAAAAACTTAAGCCCCTGCTTAAAAGCCTAGGCGCTAAGCCTTTGCCGCTACCTAATTAGCACCTAATGCATTTTAGAACCTTGCGTATCTCGTATTATTAGTAGTAGTAGAAGTTCAATTCAACAGTTTGATAGTTCAAATTTTTTTTTTCTTTTCAAAAAAGACGGAAGAAGAATATAAACGAAATGTTAGTGCAATTCAAATTGTGTGTCTCTATCTGGCCAATATATTTCAACTTTTACAAGTGTTTTAATAGTAGGAACAATACTTTCTTCTTTGTTCATGTTCATGCCTTATAGCTAGAGCCTAGAGGGACCACGATATCATTTCGGAATGTCGCATTGAAAACTACTAACACTCACAACATTTTAAGCTCCAACAACAATGATTGAGGTGAATTCTTGCTGTTTATGGTAAATTTATTCTCACCTGCGAGATATTAATCTGTATATCGCATTATCTTAATCTGGATTATGTGGCTCGTGGCATCACTTTCATATCAATTTGTCATTGTCAATGACAATTTGCCAGCTCCACAGTAATGTAATAAAATAGCAAAAGATACACAAGTTGAAGGGTTAAAATTAGAAAGATAACCTTATCATTTACGTACACTGCAAAGAGGGATCATTGTAAGATCAGAAGAAAATTTTCCATCGGATTGGTTTCCTCCTCACTTTTCCTTTTTGTAATGAAGCGCTGTCTATTTTAGCTAGCTCTCTAGTGCGTGTATGGTCTCAAGTCACTTATGAGCGGGAATCTCGTTCCACTATAGTAAAATGAAATTATTCTTGTACGCAGGGAATGTGTATTTCCGCTTGTATCTGGAGCAAAAAAAAGGACAGTGAAATATTGAAGAAGTTCTATACAGTGCATAGATGGTCTATGTACGATAGTCCTATTCCTGTCTCGTTTTTACTACAGTAAGAAGCTTCTCTCCATATAGTTCTATTCCTAAACCATAGTTCTATATACACACTTAGCGAGTGTAATATTTGTTGACAATGAATCTTTCACTTATGAGAGAAGGGATTTCGTATGAGTTTATAAGGAAGTTGGGTTACTCCCTATTTTGCGAACTGATTTATAGTAGAATCTCAAAAAATTTCATTTTATCGTTGTAAATTACTATCACACGTAAGATCTTTTATCGTTGTACATTACTGTCACACTTATCTTACGTTGCAAGTGAAGGAAAAATATCGGCTTTTAATAATAAGTTATAAAGTTTGGTCTTCAATAGGTGGGTAGTAGTTTACACCTTAACAAAGCAAAAAAGTGATTTGGCATGTAACTAAGCAGAGCGTTAAAGTAATTGGTTGTATAAAGAGTGAGTTAAAGTGAATGAATGATTCATTATCCTCATACAAGGTCAAATTAAACACGCCTTAATTCCTCCGGTTTGTAGGAAAACCCTAACCCAATTGATGGGTAGCAATTCACACCTTGACAAAGCAAAAAATTAAGGTCTTCATTTTGAATCAGAATAAAGCATGAGAGACGCCAACATAAGCCAATAAGATTATTTGGTGTTCTCCTTACTCCCAAAGGCCACAACGAGCAGGTTAACTTTTTCCTGAAACCCTCTCTCTGGTGAGAGTGGAACCCAGCTCTCTCCCCACCATGCACCCTACTTTGTTCCTTTTTTTCCTTTTCCGTGCCTCAAACTCATAGACTGTACTCTCTCTCGTCCCCTGCACCATTATTTTTACTGTCATTTGGTGCCCACCAGAAGCACTAGTACGCCATATTATTGTCTGCAACTGCAAGCTCTGGAATATCAACCTCACCATTTGTAATTACTTTACTGTATTTCTTGTTTTTGCATCTTCCCTATAGAGATAAGGGGTCTTTGTGACTAACAATTTACTCATAACTGTGTGGATTGATTTAACACTATACATATCCTAAACATAAACTCATAATACTTCTTTTTAGTTTCTGGTATTCTGCCAT